GCGGCTGCGCCGGCCCGGGGGCGCCGCGGCGAGGATGCCCGGCGCGCGTGGCGCACGCCCCGCGGGCGAGGCGGGAGCCGGGGAGGCGGTTGTGCCGGGCTGCGGGGCTGCGGGGCGCAGCGACCCGCTGGGACCCGGGGCCTGCCGCCCTGCCCGGTGGCAGAGGCAGCCTCGGCGCGGAGAGGCGGCCGCTGCCCCTTGCGCGTGGAGCGCGGCGGGGGCGCCGGTCGCCCGCCCTGCCTCACCTCACCAGGCGCGCCCATCCCCCGGGAGGTCCCTCCTTGGAGGAAGCGTGGCCTGCAGATGGCGCACACTTGAACCTCCATCAGCCCCAGCCAGCATGGCCGCCAGTGAGGGTCGGCTGGGCTTGAGAGGCGCATGGTCCCCGTCGCGTTGCTGCGAGATCGCGGGCAAAGCGGCCCCGGGTTGAGCGCGGGCGGGTTCCTGGCCACGCCGCCCCGGGCTCCCAGCCCTTGTCCCAGGTGCCAGGCATGCTGAAGACCTCTGCGCACTGCAGCACCTTGCAGGAAATGGCCTGCTGGGAAGCCAGGCAGGTTCCACTGAGCACCTGCTTCGGGCAAGGCTGATCAGCTCCATGTGGCCACCCGGTCCCCAAAAGTCTGGGCTGGGAGAAGCCTCTCCTCTGAACAGGAGGGTCCAAGTCCGGAAACCATATGAAGCAAACACGCTCCTGACCTGTTTCTCTCCCTGCCCCTCCATTTGGAACAAACTTTTTCACCTGGACACAAGCAACCGACAATTCGTGGAGGCCACCGCCTTCCAAGGAGCACAGGTACGCACCTGCCCTCACCACCTGAGGACGTTTTAAGTATCGATGGATAGCAAGGACTGAACTAGCCTTTGGGCTCATCAGGAGCTGTTTTATACGGGGCCAGAAGCTGGGTCCACCTAGCCCAGAACTGCCCACACAGACTCTCCAATATTTCAGGCAGGCTTACCTGGAGCATCTACCTGAAGATGCAGAGCAAAGGCTCAGTCACTGAGCTAAGGGCCTTCTTTCCTTTGGACAGCAGACCTTCTGCAAGCAAAATACCTGGGGCACCGCTGCATAGACTATGCTGCAGTTTCGGTGCATACAGAACAGAAAGTTCTGGTTGTCCACGGTTCTGCCCAGATAGTAAGAAAAATGTTTTTTAAAGTAATTTTCGGAAATGTCTGCAAAAAGTAAGGGATTTTTTTTTTTCAAGTGGGCAACCAAGCATGGTCGCTCCAAGATGCCGTTCCCCGGAGGCTTCTACCTGGACCCATGGCTCAGCTGCCTGGAGATGACTTTCCACTGGGCAGAGCAGGCCCGTTTTCAATGATCTCCTGTTTTTAATGCATCGTTTTTATCCTTCCATCTTATCTTTGTATTGTTCACCACTCTGGAATCTGTCTATGGGTCATATGCAAACACCCTAACTCAATAAACAGACAACTAACAAACATTGATGCGCAAGCAGCAGCCTAAAGAGGCACTTACATTTCCACATTTCCGGGGGCTAGGCCCTCAAGGACAGAAATGTGCACACGCTGTTTTATTCTTATACGTGTATTAGGGCTCCTTTAAACTTCACAGGGGGCAGTCAGCCAATCGATTTTTTAAATCCAGTTCCTCATTTGCCACTCACTGCAGACCATCCCAAAAGAACTGGAGAGCTGAATTCCACGTGAGGAGAGACTGGGAGGGCAAGAGCCGCGGTGAGCGAGGGGAGCCAGCCCTAGCTTCTCTGCTCAAAAGTCACTCTCTGCTCGGCAATCAAGCTGAGGACACGCAGAGCTCCGGGAGTAATTCTGGGCTGGGGACCCACAGGCCTAGATTTAACAATGCCCACACAGTAGGTCCCCACCCCCACCCCCTTTAATAAGCCACAGACCAAAACATATGCAGGGAAACTAACACATACCTTGCCCCTCAGGTAACACAAAGGCCGGAGTCCGAATGATTCATTTCTGCCGCCAAGCCCTCTGTCGCCTGGGCATCTTTGGTTCAGTTAATCAGAGGATGGCCAAGCCTTTTGAAAATTAGCGTTGTGGGAGACAGCAGATCAGTGATGCATCCCGATGCTCCTAATGAATTTCTAGAAATTCCAGGGAGTGCCTGAGGCTGTGGCTGAAGGTTCAGACTAGGGATTCTGGGTTCATTCACCCGCTGCCCATCAAGCACAGAGATAACGCAGCGAGATGGGATGAGCAGGAAGAGGGGGGGATAAACGGCCGGCCGTGGTGGGTTTGGGGTTTGCCCCTGGATCATGAGGTAGGGCAGGGAACCCCCTGCCTCAAACCCTGCAGACCGTGGAGACAGCTATGGGAATTACCCCAAGAGGCAAGCTGCAGGCTAATCCCTCGCTCCTGGAGGAAGCGGAGGCGGCTTTGTGGCAGATGGAGAATCTCCCTATTCTTGCTCTAATGTGACCCCTGCTGAGATGCCTGCTGCTCTGGCTGAGGCATCCTGGGAGTTGTAGTTCACTTTTTCTGCATAGGATTGCATCTTAACTAAGACATCTCCGGTGAAACATTCTTATACTTAATGATTTTTTTTTTTTTTTTTTGCTAATTCCTTCTTTACTGTCCTTCCAAGATTCAGTCTTCTAACTGTTTGGCTGCAGCCTGTTTGATATGATGATTGAGCCAGGGAATGCAACATCTTTTTCAATTTAGAAAATCATCTAGAACCCCAAGATGCCTTCTTTGGTTGTCTTTACTAAAGATGGAAAAATAAAGAGTGGCCTTTTTAAAAAAAAGCTATTCCTGAATGATTTTCCCTCCTCAGAACGCATATAGCAACCCTCCCCATGGTAGTTGCCTCCTCTGTGAAAAGCAAAGCACCCTGGAACATTTTCACAAGATTTCGCTGAATATTTGCTGCTCAAAACAGGAAATCCTTTCAGTTCACTGTTAGCTGAATGCTGCCTACATAATCCTTGTCCTGGAACCCTTCAGAAGTGTGGGACTGAAGCTCCCATCATCCTTAACCAGCATGGAATACTAGACCTTTGGGAAAACAGACCCACATATTTAGAAATGGCTGATTTAGAAATAAAGGGCTGGGAAATTTGTCAGATAATATTTCAATATGCGAGTATTCAATATGCAAGATAATATTTCAATATGCAAGTATTACTTTGCGTTCACACCTGTGTAAGCCGTCCTGAGCACTTGTCGGAAGGACGGGATATAAATGCTTGTGATAAATAGATAGATAGATACCTCTGGGGTGCATTTACAGTCTTCTTCTTGCAAGAAGCCCAGGGCATCTTTCAAGGTTCTTCTCCTCGCCATCTTATGCTCACAACATTCCTGCAAAGTAGGTTAGGCAGTGAGTCTGCGACTGGTCCAAAGCCACCCAGTTAACGTTACCGTCGAGTGGGGGCCAGAACAAGAACCCAAACCTCCCAAGTCCCAGGTTGCACTCTACCTGCTGTGCCACACCTGCTCCCACGCTCAGGAGCCAGGCGAGGAGGGCAACATAAAGAGGTTGCTGCTCTAGTTTACCAAACCACAGAGGGATAACCCACGGCGATGCCTGCCTAAGACTCAGTGGACGGACGTATGATGCACTTCCCACAAAGAACTGGAGGTGCTGTCCAGTCTGTTCCAAACAGACCATTTAGCTCTGCTGGGGAGTGTCTGGTTACATGAAAGCCAAGCAAAGTCTTACCCAAACAGCGTATCCCAATTCATATGCTCGAGCATATCCCGAGCTATCACCACGGAGAACTCCTCCAGCACCTAATGGCACTACTAGAGGGCTTCTCTCCCTTTCCAAGAAGCAGCAGAGCAGCTCAGGGGACTGCAGGCAGAACAAGGTTCGACTCATATGGACACTGCTTTCAGAGGTCACACATTTTAACATCTAAGCCATCTCAGATAACAATGCATTTCTGCCCTAACCTTTGTTCTGCTTTCTGTACGACAAAACTCCAGCCTTCAGAACCAGGGAAAATACCTTCGTGGGATGTAATTTCAAATCAATTCTGGTAACAAAGGGCAACATGATCAGAATCCTAAGTTATCTTTCTAAAAGCAAGGCTGAATTCATCCATTTTATTTTCAAGGTGATGGAGAAAGCAAGAAAGCACAGGTACTCAGCTAAACATGTTTCTTTTGACACAAAAACCTCGAATGGTTACTGCTTAAATGGTAGAATATGTTATAAATAAAGGTTAAATTGGTATAAGGTCCATAGGAATATAAAGGACAAAGAGAACAATGCACATAAAACAAGGACCAGGAAAATACCACACACCTTTGGCAAGTGGTAAAGTTAAAAAAGAAAAAGCATAAAAGTGGAAGTTGTACATTTAAGAAGGACTAACATTTTTAAGACTGTTATGCTAAACCAGTATATTACAAGCTTATTCTGATGGACAAAATAGGCTCAGTACCAACTGTAAGGGCTTGAAACTCATTTTGTAAAGAACCATGGGAGGTTAACAAACAGGAGCACTACCCACGTAAGACCCACAGCTGTGCTTGTGTACAACTCCAGATAATTTCAACGCAGCTTAGACAAGCGACTCCAGCTTCCATCTGTTCATAGGCCTGACCACAGTCGCAGAGTATCAGAACTGACGACCGTGGCTGAGGCCACATGGACAGGGATCTGAAGAACCATTAAGCACAGAAGCAGCCAGAAGGCTGTTTCAACCAGAGGGTGAAAGAGAAGCACCTTCACCAAACGAATCCCAAAAATTCAACCCGTGACTCATGGAATGGGCAAAACCGTCCGGAGTAAAAGCAAACTGAGGTGTGGCGTTTTATGTCTGCTATTCAGAAAAACCGCAGCACTCCCAGCATGACTAGGAAACTTGGCAGCATCTGGGCATATATTGCTTGTCAAGCCATTATTCTTTTTCTGTGGAGGATGTCACCGCGACGAGCGCCGTGGCATCCAACGGCCAGCAGTCAGCACTGAGAACGACAGCTGGTGTCCAACTGGTCACATAATTTTCACTCATAGTTTAGATTTGCTTTTTTAAAAATAAAACTAGCAATTAACTCTCTGAAAGATACTTCATAAATCTTTTTTTAAAAATTATTCTCTGAAGGTTACAAAAGATTAGTCAAAACTTTTTAATAGGAATAGTTTGGACAAGCAGCTCTCTTTCCTGGTGGGAGAGTTACAGTGACACGTAACGAGGCGGAAGAGGGGAGTCCACAGAAAGTTGTGAACTACGGGTGACACCCCAAAGATTCTTATTAAAAAGATCTGACTGCATAGCAAACGCACCCTTCTCCCAGTGAGGTGTCTCACTCACTGGCTTTCCACCTGAAGGAATCGTTAGTACGCTAATTGCATTCAAACATTATTTCTGCCCCCATAACCCTTCTTCATCAGCACAGTGGAAATGCCAGTAAGTCAAGTCAGTGGGAATATCCCTAGCAGAGGTGTAGGACGGCTTTATTAATCTCTGGGTTTGTCCAATCATTCCGGATGTCATCCAGGTGATTATCAAAATCCACTAGTGTTTCGTAGGACCGGCTATCCAAAAGGGAGGCGGAGATTCTCTGGGCTTCTGACCAGTCTTCACAGTAATCACTAGGAAGCAGGGGGAAAAAAGGAAGAATTAATGGCCTTCAGGAGGAATCCACCAGCCTCCGTGTGCGCTTGGGTGAGAGCAAGGGACATCCATCAACACAATGGCAAGCAGAGGCTCAGCTAAGCTCCTTCAAAGGGACATAAATGCTCTGCAGAAATGGAGAGTAAAGAAATGCATCTTTTCACGTGGGAAGGTCTGTTACAGGCATACTCACAAATGTGGGTCTTTGCATCGCCATTTGTTTTCGTGCTGCTCGTACACGTGGACTGTGGGTTCTATGCACTCCATCGTAAATTTAGTATTGTCCACCTGATGCAGAACAAAAACGCCAAATCAAAAACATCCGTAAAGGCACGGTGCTATGCACTGCATCTTCAATGCTCACAAGCCCCTGGACCCAGAAGCTTAGCAGCACGGTTTGCTCAGGCATGTTACTTGGCTTATGTGACCCTCTCGTTTCTTGTCACTGCTGCCCTTTCTGGTTTTTATGATGATAATGTTGTTTTATAATTTTGTTGACTATACTGCATGATTTTGATCATAGTCTTGAACAATGCCCGGGCGGTATTTGCAAGCATTATGGACAAATAAACAGCATTTTTGGTAATAGTGACAGAAAACACGAGGCAAGCAGTCCTTGGGGGATCCGACTCCTAAACCGTATCCTAGGTCTTTGCTGGACGTGACTTGCCTGCTTAGCTTAATATAAATAAAAGCAATGGAAGAACCTGGGGAAGCGCCAAGGAACCCCAGTGCTTTCTGGGGAAAATTTTGGTTTAGGATGTCCTCCGAGCCAGCGATGGGCTGCATAAAAGGCACCCAGTTTTCTGCCATTCAGAAATGCCCCAAGCCACGAGTGGAATCAGCCACAGCCACGACGTAAAGATTAAATGGGAAAAAAAATGGTGGTGGAAGCTTATATACCATGATGAGCGCTGGGTCGTTGAAACCTTCCGCAATCCTAGACGCAACCTTTTCAGCAACCTGGTTTGGACTGCAAAAGAAGGGCAAGTTACTCATAGGGGTCTGCCAAGATCCATATCAATCAGAATGAAGTAAGAACGAAACCGTGGCATGGTCCATTCGAAATCTAGCAAGCAAGACCATGCTGAATTAATGAGACTAAACTTAAAAGAAAGATGAGCTGAGAAATCTTCCTTCCGTATGTACTCAAGAGCAGACGTCTCTCTACTGACTAAGGAGGGGAGGTGGGGAGGGGAGCCAGGCGTGCTCTGCACCTCGCTCACTTCGCCTGCGCAGACCCTGCTGCGACCGGCATGCCAAAAGGCCTCCGCACATGCTTCCGGCAACACACCTGGCATCCTTCATGCGCTCATTGGCTTGATAGTATCCAGCTATTACGTAGCTGTTCTCTTTACACCATGAATCAATCTGCAGGGAGACATAATAAAACAGCCATAAGTATCCAAAAACTATCGCAGCGCCAGATGAAATTACGGGGGGCTCTTGGTGGAGAGGACTGGCAGGCAAGTGGCTTTGGAGGACAACTCGATGCCCATCGCAATGGCCACTGACTCACACGGGCAAACGTTGCTTCCTCTGACAGCAGCTGCCGGGATAACACCCCCAGTTTGCATCATCAAAACCACCCACCACAGATGCTTGAAGCCAGGTGGGTCATGATGCGTGTCAGGCCAGTTTTGTGTGTTCAGTGCCTTGCCGTGGCATGCATGGCCTGTCACCCTCACACGGCCTCTGCTGACCAGGTCTGCACAACACGACAAGCTGCTGATGGGGATGGACGTTTCACAAGGGCCAGCCACATGAGCTGCAGCTCCCAGCTGTGGCTTACAGTTTGCCGTCCATACACTGGACACAACGACCTACCTCACCGCCGCTGTGAAGGCCAGCACAACAGCTAGCACAAGGGCACTCTTAAAACAGGAAGTCCCAGAATATAAATGGCCACCACAGGAGGACTTTCCTTACAATTAACCACAGCTGTTGGGGGCCTGCTTGGTGGGGGGCACCTCTGGCAACCGAGCTGCCACAGGAGGGGTAACAAAGGAGCAGAACGTGCCCAGAAGATGGACTAGAAGGCAGAGCCAGGAGCTAAGCCCCAACACAGCAAACCACTCCTTCGACCGTCCTTCTCAGGGCCAACAAAGCCCTGCCACAGCAGTGCCAACTTCTGGTGGGAGAGGGAGAGAGAGATTTAACTGGCATCTTGGCGGGTGCCAAGAAAGCTGCTCTGGGGTTTTTATAACCCAGAGAGGCACAGCGGCCAACGATTTGCAGAGGGTGCTCAAGAAGACGGGAAGCCGCACTACGAGGGAGGTCCCCTTTGCCCTCACCGCTCATGCAGTGTTGGGGTAAACGGGCCGGTCCCGCGCAGAGGGGTGGGCACGACTGGGGAAGGGGGGCAGACAGATGGCCAGCGCAGAAGGGAAGGGAATCCCTCGCCCGCGGCTCCCTTGACTGTGTCAGCAGTGCGGAGCGGAGAGCTGGGGCAGCCTGAACTGGCCAGGGTATTCCTGGGGAGGGGAGGCTGGCTATTAGCTCCACTCCAGCTGGTCTACACTCAAGACTAGCAGACCACCGGGGGGGGTGGGGGGGTGGGACCAGCATCTGGAGATGAGGTATGGATTCTGCAGTGATTCCCTGTTCCCACCTGCACCAGCCACTTTAATTAGCAAAGGCATTTGCATAAAGCTCACTACATTTTATCCTAATGTATCATCTAATCTGCCACAAAGCTTTTATGAAAATAAAAAAACACTAAGAACTAAAGGGACAAATTCGTACTGGGTGTTTGGAGGCATGCTATGAAACAAGTCATTTACCATCATTCAGATTTTGGCCCGGTTTCAGTGGTTTGAATTTACCATATTTGTTACTCACAATACGAGTATCTGATTAAGATAATCCAGTGATTTAGGGAGGTGGAAAAACCAGCTAGCAATTGTATTTTTGCTCTCAACTAGTATCTTGAACAAAAGAAAAAAAATTAAAGTGGATTCCAGAAGGGTTTTAGATGCTGGACTCCAGCTTCCTGCAAAACACATCAATCTCATGGTTAGCAGAATATTAACAGTCCTGAATTAAACTGTCTAAAAGCAGAACAAAGCCACACAAATAATCTCGTCTAAAGGAATGACATGGATTTATGTGTTTCATTAAATTGTCATTCACTGGCATTGTTATACTTAAAGAGCCAACTGCCACTGCAGCCCATAACCTCTGTTGCTAGGATTTATAGATGCCATTTTAATTGTTAGCTAGTTGGGATCTTGTAACTAAAAACTATACACCCAAGCCAACCGTTTGGGTTCACAGGAAACATTTAGAAACTTGTCAGAATTCTTCTGTTTGCAACTATCTAACAAACAACAACTATCTAACAAACTTTCTAACAAACACTAGGAGTTTGAGGGAGAAAAAGACAAAAACAACAACGGATCTTCTCTGGTTTGTCAACAACTGTTTCAAACAAGTTTTTTTTTTTAATGTTGCAGAACTCAGTAGGAAACAACCAAGGGTGCAGAAAACGTTAAGCAAATGAAGTGCAATATAGCCATTTCCATTTGCTTTTCATGTAAAGAAAGCAACCGCACATTGTTTATCTGCACACATGGAGCCCTTAAACAAACACTGCTCCATAGTGCAAAATATTTTTACTGAATGAAGACGCAGCAGATGTGTTTGCTTTGCAGGAGGCCAGTGCTGAAGTTTGGGAGAAAGGTTTGCAGATCTTCCTTTGCACGTAACTTCCCAAAAGTTACAAGTCCAAGAGCCACACCTCAAATTGGCCATTTGTGACCTCTGTACGTGCACAGAGAGCTTTTGCTAGGTCCTGTGCTGGGGGGCCTGCGGTCCTCTGGCTCTCCACTGTGACTGACTATTAATAACCAGGCCCTGTGTCCCCAGGGTTTGAGGAGCAAGGAGCAATTTTTTCTTGCCTTCTCTGTGGCCCAGACAGGTCAGTCCTCTAGTGCCCTTCACTGGTTGGTACACGGCAATCTGAACTGGGGAGAGACAGTCGGGAGACGCCTGGTAGAGAAGGTGAGGCCTTACGGTTCCCAGCTCTCGGTTTAGTCTGCCTTTCTCCTTAACGAAGTTACTCTCAGGATTTCCCAACTTCTCTCAATCAGTGGGAGCCTCTGGGCTGTTGGGCACGTGGCACCGGGATCCCACAGGTGCTGGGGTGGGGAAGGTGGCCGGTCATGAAACGATGGGCACTGGCTGGTCAAAACACACCCATTTCAAGTCAAAACGGTGGGTCTAAAAGAAAAGAGGCTTGCTCCAAATCTCGAGCGCAAGGCAGAGATGGGGCTTAGCTCCAAGCACAAGCCCCCGCCCCACCGCTGATCCCAAACAAGGACGGTGCTAGGAGGCAGCCCTAAACGCATCGCAGCGTACCTCTGCTAAACAGAGCGATCTTTTTGGAAATCAAGAGGGGCGCGGATCCTAATGGGGATCCCAGAAGTAAGTGAAAAAGATGCATGCAGGGAGCTCTTTTGGGCAGAAGTAATATATCAGTGGGGTTTTGTACTTCCCATCCAGAGCTGCTTTTTCTCTCCATGGCTGGGCTTATGGGGGTGGGTTGGACCAACAACCAAGGCTGGAGAACACAGCCACAGGTACAGCTTAAATCCCAGTCTTTCTATTATCAATTTGCACATAAGCTGTCCTCTCTGGCTGCTCCTTCAAAAGCCACAGAGCAGCAAAAGAAGAGTTACCCTGATACACATAAGCTCCTTGGCCTTCTAAAACATAATGCACTTTCCCTGATTACATCTCCTGAAACTGCCAGGTATTCTGATTTACAAGCCATCCTGATTAACTAACTGAACACATTTCAGCATTTCCAAAAGGCATAACAATGACTGAATCTTTTTCAAGTGCATCTTGACGCAAACACCAATGTAATTTCACATCCACGACTGCAGCCTTCCAGACCCTGGCGCTCCCTAGGTCTTTGGACAATATTCCCAGCATTCCTGCCTGTGCTGATGGGAACTGATGAAAGGCGAAGTCCAAGCATCTACAGGCACAACTGCAGATGTGTGCGCAATCCATTTTGGGGTGAGAATCCATCAATTTCCTCAGCTCAACTCCTGGACACAGGCCTGCTTTCCCTTTTCCCTAAGCAGGCCTCCTGCCCAGTATTTGCAGGAGTGTCTGGCAGGAAGTGAACTCAAGCAGCGCTCTGACCGCTTTGTGTACTTTGTACAGAGAAGTCGCTAGCCTTCCCAAGTGTTTGTGGGCCTCATCTCAGCCTGGCTCACTTTCTAGCACGAGCCCAGTGTGGGGAAAAAAAGTCTGGCAAGCACAAGAGAAATGCTGGCACAAACTAGCTGCAATCTCCTTCTCCTTTTGCAGTGCAGCTCTTTCTATTGCACAATTTCCTTTCCTGTCACAAGCATTTTAAAGGCATAGCACAAAACGAAAGCCAGGTGCTACCAAGTCTACCAAGCTGCCCTTTTCTGCGACTCACCAAGATATTTCCCTTAGCCCACGACCCTCCAACTACAAACTAAAATTCTGCCTGTACATGTGGGGTCTAAACTGCTCAACCAGATGTTCGGGGAAAAGTTCACCAGCACAAAGGCAAAGCTCTGGCTTCCTACCTGTCCTCAGCACCGGCCAAGACCAAGCTGCGTGAAGAGCCCTAATCTAGATCCCACGGCTCTCTGGTTCGCCCCTACGCCGTTTAAGGCCTCGTCGGGGCACAGCCAGCCCGGCCTCCCGTGCCTTAGGATGGGCTTGGCTCTGAACGCTGCTCTGACTTTATTCCGCTGTGCTAGAGGCTTATAGCGAAGCGCAGGGCACAAGGGCCTTCCACAAAGGAGATACATGAATGAATACGCGCGCCCCCCCGACCGGCCCCCCCGCCCGGCGCCCCCCCCGAACCCCCCCGCCCGGCGCCGCGGGCCTCACCAGCGTGAGCGCCACCTCCAGCATGGGCGCCAGCGCCAGGCCGCCGTGGAAGAGCGGGATGCAGTCCACGAGCAGCGCCGGCTCGCGCTCGCGGCCCCGCGGCGGCTGCCGCTCGGCCACCAGCAGCCCGTTGACGGCACAGTGCGGGTACTTGGCGCCGTGCAGCACCATCTTGCAGTAGGCCTGCGTGCTCAGCTTCATCTCGCCCGGCCCGCCGCCGCCGCCGCCGCCGCATGGGCCCGGCCCGGCCCGGCCGCCTGGCTGAAGGAGCCGCCGCCGCCGCCGCTCCCGGCCCCGCCGGCCTGCCGAACAGCGGCGCCCGCCGCCGCAGAGGGGCGAGAAGGCCGCCGAGCGAGCCGCTTCACGCGCGGGGCCGCGGCCCTTCTAGCCCAGTCTCGATGGCTGCCGGCGCGGCGCGGCGCTTCCGCCTTCCCCGCGCCCCGTCGTGCGTGCGGAGCACCTAGAGCTATGGCCCGCTCGAGGATAGACATGCATCCCGCCGCCTCGGGATTCTGCCGCCCGGCGACCCCGCCCATTCCCGGCCTTTCCTGATGCAGGTCGCGTCAGAGCCGGGGTGCCTGGGGCTGCGCTGCTGGGGCGGGCGGAGAAGGGGTCGTCCTCCACGCCCGGAAAGGACAGGCGGCTGCTCAAGCACAGCTGTGCTGAAGCCCCAACTTCCCGGACAAACTCGGACGTTTGGGATACGAGAACGTGGTGCTCTTGCATTTTATATCTATGGAGTCGCCCGTCTCCGTGGCCCGCCGAGGTGCGCAGAGCGGCAGCACTTCCGTTCCGGCGCCGGGTCCGCCGCGCTCCCGTGGCGCCCCGCGCCCCCGCTTTCTTCCGGCTTCCGTTCTCCGTCTCCGCGCTTAGAGGGCACGAACGGCCTCGGGTTAGCGGCTGGTGGCGGCGGGTGAGGAGAGGCCTCCGTGTGTCTGGAGCGGGCGCGGGGCGGGAGGAAGGGATCGCGGCGGGATGGTGGGGGCGATGCAGCGCGGTGCCCCCGCAGAGCCGCGCCCAGCCCGGCGCCTTCCAGACGTGCTGGACTACAGTTCCCATCAGGCTCAGCCACGATGGCTGGGCTGCGGTTCCCATCCTCGCCAGCCAGGATGGCACCGCAGTTCCTCTTTTGGTGACTTCACTACAATCCCCGTTGTCCCCAGCCAGCAGCCCCATTCGCCTTGGAATGATGGGATTTGTAGTCAGCGCATCTAGATGAATGGTGGACGTCACCTGCCAGTCAAAGGCTGCAGCCCTGAAAATAGCAGCCGCCTACATAGGATGGGGCTTTCTGGGCAACGAGAAAAATCCCACGCCTGTGGTGGGTTAGGCTTCTAAAAGCACAATGGAAATACTTACATATTAACATTGTTGAAGAGTTTTAATCTCTTCCTGTCCTTTGCTGACCTTTTATTTTCTTTTTCCTCCTTCCTGAAGCTGCTGACTTTTCTAAAGATTGTGCAGTTGACTGATAAGTGAATAGACCTTTTATGTGACAGTATATTATCTTTTTTTCTGTGATTTAAAAAATCTAGATCTGCATATTTTGTAAATGTTGCAACTTCGGCTATGTTTTAGTTTGTTAGACAACTGAGATGTGAGACTTTGGTTTTAGAAGAACTAACACATGGTTCTTCTAACTGAAATAGTGAATTATATTTGCAGGATTCACAGTAATTGCTGATGAACGAAGTCTTGTCTTGTCTTTTAGGATGTTGGCTTCAAGGGCATTTAGCCTTCTTGGCAAGCGGTCCATTTCTACTTCGATCTGTGTAAGAGCCCATGGGCACGGTACGTCTATTGTTTAGCTGTCTTAGCCTGATTATGTTAAGTTATTTTCATCTCATGAATGCATGTTAACATTCATAATGTTCTGTAAAGTGTTCTTATCATAACAGGTCTCCAAAACAATAGCTTGCCTGTGTCTATGCAGCAAATTTTATAATTGAGGGCAGGTTTAAACCTGTCCTTTCCCAATGGCTTCTTGCTTCTAGACTTAATTGTTAATCTTTTTTTTTTCCTGTGGGATTTTTGCTGTTCTCTTTCAATCTGAAAATAAATTTGTGCTCAGAAGGGTGCCTTTTTGGCAATATGGTTTCTTACTTTACTAGGAATAATTCAATGAGGTAAAAAGAACCCTGGCAGAAATATTAATGAAGGAGTGTTGAACCTTTTTCAGACTAAGGGCTGAATTCTATTTTGGAGACTCTCAGGACCCACATTCCAGGGGTGACTGGGGCCAAGGGCCAAAAGATCGACATGTTCTAGCTTAAAGCTTGTACAGGCTGCAGCCAAGCTTTTGGAGAGGCATTTCAGTATTTTAGGATGGTAAGGGAAACTGCACGGAAGCTGAGAAATCACCCTGGGGTTTGTGGGGAAGGAGTGGCATTTGGGAAGGGTTGGGCTGATATCCCAGGTAAGTAGAGTCTGGAATCCTGTATCAGTGTATACATGTCTTCTCTGAAGCCTGTATTTTGATAGAGACATCCAAAGTTTCCTGGTATTGTATTCATGTGCAGCTTTGCCTTTTCTCTGCCAAACAGGTATTGTGAAAACGGAGGATTTCAGCTTGCCTGCCTATATAGACCTTCGGACTCTTCCTTTGCCTGCAGCCACCTATACGAAAGTCCTCTCTGCTGAGCAGAGAGCGCTGAAAGAAAAAGAGAAGGCCTCATGGAGTGCTCTTTCTGTGGATGAAAAGGTTGAGTGTAAGTATAGTGAAGAAGCGGAATGGAAAATGGAAAATTGGAGGGGCAGGAAAAGTTCTTTGGCTTGGCGACTCTGAATACATAAATACGTGTTGGCTTGCCAGATGAATGCTGCTGTCGCAATTTTTTCTTGTTCTTCCCCCACCCCAGTGTACCGCATCAAATTCAAGGAAACCTATGCAGAAATGAACAAGGGCTCAGCTGAATGGAAGACCATAATTGGCGGGGTGTGCCTTTTTCTTGGCCTCACTGGTTTGCTTTACATTTGGCAAAATAAATACGGTAGGTACTCGGCACTTGAAAGGACTGTGTTACTTGTCAGAGCAGCGCCAGCAAAATCTTCCCAAGAAGGACTGCTTTTTAAAATCCCCTCTCATAATGGTTCTAAGGGTAAATCGAGGAGCAGGGACAGTTACACTGACACGCATTTGCTGCCATGCTGTGCTGGATAACATGAAAACAATTGGAAAACAGTTCTGGGGTTACACTCACAGGAGAGCTTGTACCTGCTCTTGTAGCTTTGTTCTACTTTCGTAGTTCAGGTAACTTTTCACATTTCTGTTGGCAGCAGCGCATCGTTTCTCTGATTTTAAGCTTGGAGGAAGGTTGGGTGGGCTGTGAGTGTTACTGGACTTGCTCAGTATGCTTTGCAATTTGCAGTTTGTGGTCCACTCCCTCACACCGTGTCGGATGAATGGAAGGCCATGCAGACCAAAAGAATGTTAGATCTGAGAGTGAACCCGATCGAAGGCATCTCTTCCAAGTGGGACTACGAAAAGAACGAATGGAAAAAGTAAACGCATTCCAGAAATCTCCGCTCCTGTCATGGCTTGAAATTCTGAAATGATTCCATCTTCTCCACATGACCTTGCTGCTTCTGTAATGGGGAAAAACCCTTCCACTGAGAGAATTCCTAATAAATGTCTGGTTTACTTGAAAAAAAAAAAACCACTTTTCTTTTTGAAAGTTTTCTGCCTAGCCTGCAATGGCTTGTAAGTTTGCAGAAGTTAAAGTTGCTGTTGTCATCTGGTAGACAGATAGGCAGAATTGCAATTTCTGGGAGGAAAACAAGTCCACAGAGATATAACTCCTCTAGCTGTTATTAAAATGTACACAGCAAAATTAAACATTGTAGTTTAAAAAGACGCGCATCGTTAACGTCTCTCTATTCGGTGTAAGGATGGTGATTTTTTTGTCAAATCCTTTGGACAAAGGGTTCAAAGTCTGGCTGCTGAGCTTCCATCTGTGTATTTTTTCATCCACTTGCTGATATGAAAGAATATACAGATGGAAACTCGCTGGCTAATGTACTTGCCATTTACTTAGAATTATTCTGGGACATCAGCAGGGTCCGATGATCCCGAGTGCATGAGGTGTCGCTCTTGAGATGCAGTGCACCATAATCTTAAGACCTGCAGGAGAATCCTTTTCTCCTCCTCTATTTCATGGCAGTAATCCAAACACAAACGATTTGCTTGCAGCGGAGTCATTAGAATAATTTGAAGCGGCCCTCCTCCATGGGCCATGCCCTACACGACATGTTCACAGCTTTTGCTGAGGCAGGAATGCTGAATCTCTTTCAGCCCTTATGATCAGGGAACGCTTAGGAATGCCATATTCCCATGGAAAATGAGACCAATAAATGATAACAGCATATTTTTTTATTTTTATTTATTTTTCGATTTATATCCTGCCTTTTTCCTACAAAGGGCTCAAGGCAGCTTACATCATTCTCCTCCATCTTATCCCCACAACAACAACCCTGTGAGGTAGGTTGGGCTGAGAGTCTGTGACTGGCCCAAAGTCACCCAGTTGGCTCCATGGCTGAGCGGGGACTCGAACCCGGATCCTCTGAGTCCCAGTCCCATGCTCTTAACCACTACGCCACACTGGCTCTTATTTGGAGTTTTTGTATGCCGTCCCATTCGCATAAGCCTCGGGACAGCTTCCAACATAATAAACATATAAATAATACATATAAAATTCAGATTCCCCCTGGCTGTAGAAATTAAAACCAATAAATGATATTAACAGTTATTAAAATACCATTGAAATAAAAAGGTCTTGGCCTGGCGCCGAAAAACAATGACGGCGCCAGGCGGACCTCTGGGGAGCGCATTCCATAAATGGGGCGCCACCCCATTTTAAAGCTTTTTTGCCCAGTAACAGCCTTCTGGGAGGTATTTCCACCTTTCAGAAGGGAGCTGGGTAGGGGACTGAGTAGAAAGTCACCAAACAGCCCCTGGAGAAGGTCTTGGGAACTAGTATCTTGCTTGGCCGGGGACCTGAGCTTTTCCGCTCCCGCTAAGTCAATGCAGCAAGCAGTGCATGGATATCCTCTTGCTGGCTGGCGGCCCTCCCAAAGCAGGTATAAAGTTACCCGTGTGCCTCAAACGTGGCGTGGGATGTGTTCGGGTCAAGTTGCAAAGCCGAGGCGTCACTGCTGTCAACAAAGATGGCTGTAGAACACGGTTACCTTTTGTGTAAGCAGATCTGGTCAATTAGTTCTACAAGCTGCCCTTCAAGGCAGCTTTAGACGGAACAACACAGCATCCAGCCCTGAGAAGATGCGAACAGCGATTAGGTACCTTCGAGCTAAATCACCGCAACTGCTCACATGCTGGCTGGGGGGCCAGTTTTCACATCTCTAGGCCAAGCCGCCGAAGACGGGGAGAGGCCAGGGGCAAGCTTTCTCCGCACCCTGCGTTTTTTCGGCGCACAATCACCCCCAAAGCCCTTGTGCTGTGTGTTGATCGGGAATACGTTGCAGTAATCTGTAGAGTGCCCCAGATGGATGTGGAAGGTTGTCCCCCCCGCCCCACAAGCTTAGCGGGCCGTGCAGGGAAAGAGAGAGAGGCGAGTGGCGACGTGGGGAGGAGGAGCTGAGCCGGCTCTTCCCCACTGCGCCCCGGCACTTCGGCCGAGGAAGCCGCCGTCCTCTCGCGCCAGGGGCCATCGGGGGCTCGGGGCAACGGTTCCCGGGCTCGCCTGGCAGCCCCGCGGGAGGCAGCCCGCACCCCCGTGCGCCTTCCGGGGCTCCGTGCGGCTCGCGGGCGGGCGGCCCCGGCAGTGGCAGGGGACCCCCGTCTCCGCCGAGGCCCTTGGAGAGGTGCGCCCTGGGAGTGTCCGCCGAGCATGGCCCGTCCTCGCGCGGGCCGGCTTCCCTGCCGGCGGAACCGCAGCCCGGCGGGCCGATGGAGAGGCCGGGGCCCGGGCGGGGGTCCCGCAGCACCGGCCGGGCGGCCCGACCGCGAGCCTGCCGGTGCCCCGGAACGCCCCGCCTCGCCCC